CTTTTAAGTCAAAAAGTTTACTGTAGATCAGTGCTTCCCAAACTGTGAACCATGGCTTCCTTGGGGAATCACAAAGGATTCATAGGGGAGCCACAAGCGTTTGGGAAAAATGTAATCCACATTCCTTTAACAAAACATGCCTTTAACAATAACAATTGTTTTGGGGGGAAGGGCAGGGGTGTTTCCTAATTAAAAGACTATTAAAGTAGGCTTTAAAAAAAAATTGAATCTTATCTATGGGTCTGCATCTTATGCAGGTAGCCTTCAGCAGAACGTGTCTCAGCTAAAATCCCCTGCTGGAGCAGAGCGCAAAGAAGCTCCTAGCACCAGAAGCAGCAGCACCAACACTAGGAGATGGGGAAGGGTGCTGAGGGAGAGACGTGTGCATCTTGTTTATAATGGAACCATTTTTTCCAGCTGCTAAGCTTACATGTAGCTAACCTCAGCTGAAGACGAAAAGGATTTTAATAATGTTAAACAGAAAAGTAGATAATATGACACCGCCACCTAATGTTTGGATTTTTCAGGTCTTGATATTACTGTACAAAGTCCATAGCCACAATGTGTCATTTGTTTTCAAATGTTAGTAAATTAAAGTATGAGGCCAGGGAAACTACTAAGACCTTTAGAAACCAAACACCTAGAATTCGTAAATCAGAGCCCAGAAACAAGAAGAATTGAAGCAGCAAAACAAAAGTTATGTCTAAAGAAGCAACTGTTCCTCAAAAAGCCTTAGAAGCACGTTATGTTGTGGCCATGTGAATTGCAAAATGTAAACAAGTGCACAACATTGGTGAAATCCTTCTATTTCCACCAGCAATAGACAGGTCGAATTATGATGGGGAATAAGCAGCCATAGCACTGAAAACCAGTCCTATATCAAATATCATCCGTCGATGCACTGATAATCTTGGAGAAAATGTCCAGTTGATAAAACTAGTTAAGAAGAGTCAATATTTTGCACCGCAGCTTGATGAATCTACAGACAGCCAAAATGGCTCAGCTTCTATGTTATATAAGACTTGTCAAAACAGGCACAATAGTTGAAGAACTTTTATTTTGCAAATAAATACCAATCCATATACCAATCCAAATAACTGGTGAGGAAATATTCAAGATTGTCGATAAATTCATAGTGGATAAAGATCCTAACTGGGATGTGTGTGTGGAACTGTGCACTGTTGGGGCAGCAGCCATGACTGGAAAGAAGAGTGGGGTTGCTGCATGAGTAAAGTGGCACAAGCAGCAATTTGGACACACTGAATGATTCATCGCCAAGCTTTGGAAAGAAAGAGGTTGCAACCTGAAGTACATGAGGCCCTCAACAGTGTTCTTAAACCTGTTAATTTTATAAAAATCCCTGGCAGTGAACATACTGTTTTAATATGCTGTGCGAAGACATGGGCTCTGACCACACTCAGCTTCTGTTTCACGTTGAACTCGGGAGATTGGCATGTGGGAAGTGTGTCACAACACGTCTGAATTGTGACACACAATCAGAATTTTTTTCTTTGGGAAAACAGACCTTGCAGATTATATGTACAATGTGGACTTCCTGACTATGTTAGCTTACCTGGTGGACATTTGTGTCCAGCTGAATGCACTTAACCTAAAACTTCAAGGTAAAAATATAAATATATAGATATGAAAGAAAACTGGGGGATTCATGAAGGTTTGTGTTTAAAGAGGTCACAAGGAAAAGGAAATTACTGAGATCCAGTGTTATCAGACTTCTTAAAAGAACAGAATTAAAGTGATCAAAACACTATTAAAGACCAAATATTAACTCGTTTGTCTGGATTGTATTCCCATTTTCATTATTATTTTCCTGGAGTTGAATAAGAATCTCCAGATACTGACTGGATTCAAAACCCATTCTCAGTAACAGCTGACTCCATTCCAACCTTAACTATCTCACCTCAAGAAAATCTCTTAGAACTGTTTAGTGATCAAAAAACGAAGACCAAAGTTTTCAAATTTAACAAACCAGGAATTTTGGATTTTTCTTAAAGAAGACTACAAAGAATTCAGCGATGAAGCTGTGAAAGTGCTGCTTCCATTCACTTCATTCTCTCTGAGTTTGGGTTTTCAGCAATGAATTCTGTGAAAACTAAACACAGAAATTGTTTCAACTTGGAAAATGCCCTTCTGTCTGGCGCTATCAGAGTCTCAACCAAACATTGTTCAACTATGCAGTTTGAAACATGATTATTCTTCCCACTAAAATCTTAGCTACGTCCAAACACCAAAAAATCCCTTTTTAAAGATTATAGTTCTAAAAATCTGGATGAGATCCGTTTATACAATTAAACAAACTGTATGCAGTTGAATAAAGTCACAAAACCACTCAAACTCTAGTGTCCCTCTTGAAGCTAGCATCCTGAACTCCTGAATTTAGTGTCCTGAGTGTGCCAAAAAATGGTATTTGGTTGTGGTGAGCCACCAAGTTTTAAAATCTCTCTAAAGGGGCCGCAGCACTAAAATTTTTGTGAACCACACCTTTAGAAAAGCCCTGGGTAACCAATTTGCTTTTTTAATCTTTCAATAAGTACCACAGAAAGCGCCAATAGAGCCAAAAAGTACAAATTTATCATGTCACTATGTAGTAGGAAGAGTTTATGAGTTAGCATGTCTGGAACCAATTAAATAATATAAAAGTTACATCCACTAACTCAACAGTTTATCATTAAAATACTAACAAAGCAGCAGTCCAAACTAAGAACCTCACGGTATTTTTTTATTTATAAAATTGGCCAATTTCATTAGCACATGATATAAAACTAATCTGAAACATATCTGCCTTGTTCTAGATGTCAGCCTTTATTTTAAAATATTTAATATACTTTTTAAATTCTCCTGAAATAAGCAGTTGGGTGCCAAGATACAAGTCAGAACATTTTGTCTTTGTTTTGTTACAGTCAAGTTACAAACCCCTGGAAAGATTATGTATCTAACAAAAACGGGTAGAACCAGGCCTGCAGACAGCCACCAAACTAAGACACAGTACAATTAAGCCAAATCACAAAAATGTCAGTCCATTGACATGACTAATGTACATAGACAGATTAAAACTATGTATTTTAAAACCAAAATTAACAATAATGCAAATGCATAGATTTTTGTTCTTTAAAGATTTAAATTTCATTTTGAACGGTCCATTTGATGCCAGACATCTGTTATTTCCGAAACAAAATTATAAGACACTAACTTATGTCCGAATTTCCAAAACTTGACCATTCCCAGAGCTGACAAGTTATTCATTCATGTTGAATCCTTTAACTCAGTTTAGGATTTGGCTTTTGTGACAATTCAGGGCAACTGCACCTGTATTTCTCCTCAGTGGTTCAGCGGGGGCCCCATTCTTGGCTTCCAGCTCCCCAGCCATTGCCTTTCTGGGTGGAGACACGCATCTCTCCCCGTTTTGACCCGGATATTCCCAGGCTGTACAGTTCCCTTTCTTCATTTGTATTTTCCAGCAAAGACAGTCTGCCTAAACTGACCTGCTTACTTCTCTTCAGAGACTGATGACAGAGTGATTGTCAACAGTTACCATGCAGCACTTCCTATGCAAGTCTATTTTATTCTTAATGTAAAACTCATTACAGAGAAAATAAATTAAAAACAATAAAAGAACCTACACGCATGCTAACAAGCTTATCAGACATCACCCTAGAATATATTCTGGCAGGCTCAGTCCTTCCAAACCTGTCCTAAGGATTGGGGCCTTCTGTGAACCAGGAGTCCTGCCTGTTGTCTGGATCAGGAAGAAGGGCAGGCACTGAGCCAGCTTAAACTCAGGCTTTCCATCCAAAAGTTTGTCTTTGCCTGTTAGTCTCTGGAGAATCCAGTGTGAACTAGTATATACATATCTCCCCAGGGGAGTGGCTTCAAAAGCTGATAATGAAGGAAGCTTATTAGCATCCCCCCTCCCTACTAGGGAAGGTACATAAAAATCCACAATAAACACAAACGCGTTTTTAATATAATGTACGCCAAAGGTGTTAAACTTCTTTCAATAAGGTTTAAATTAACTTGAATCCCATAAGGTTTATTTAGGGTATTACAGGATATTGTCAGGCTGTCACAGATCACTCAGTAGCTATGGTGTGCTAGGTGCTGCGTTATGTGAATCCATAGCCCCTATCCCAGAGGACTTGCAATCTAAATTATACAAAGGATACATCATTTTACCCATTTTATTAAACCAATTCCAATCTATATATTACACCAAGTTATATAACAACCTGAAAAAACAAAGAGATTGTGACACCAACATTTATCTTGTGTGACCTACATAAACACACATTATCCATGTAAACACTCTCTAGAAATGGGAATAAAGCCTATCAATCTGTGTTCCAAAGTACAGGATAGCTATTTAATATAGATCACTAAATGGAAATCTAAGGATTATTTTCATCTTCTCTTCCCCAGTCTCATGCTTTTGACTTTTTTCCAGGTGCTTTGTCAATTACAGTACTTAAGAAGAAAGGAACATCAAGAGCTAAAGGTCTCCATTTCAGAGAGAGTTGTATCAAAAGCAATCATGACTAGAGCTGGTCAAAAATTTTCTGATAGACTTTTCAGCAGGAAAATGCAGATTCAATGGAATCGAAACATTCCACGGGAACATGTCAATTCTGTTGAAATTTTTGATAGAAACAAGGCAAGCAGCCAGGAAAGATGCCCAGCCAGCCTGCTTACATGGTTTCCTGCCAGCCCAGGCTGCCCCAGATCCCTGAGCAGCTGTCGCCCCATGCTGCCCAATCCCCCAGGGAGCTGGCTGTCTGGGAAACAGGGCATTCCCAGGAGACAGCTGCCCAAGGCAAGCTAAAAATTCCATTTTCCAGAAAAGAAAAATTGCATTTTCCAGGCAGCTCTCATCATGATAAATGGTTGAGTTAGCCTAATAGAAAAGTTATTGAAGAAAAGGATCAAATAACTTTTCACTAGGTAGTTTTATTCGGAAAATAGAAAACAGAAAATATTATCAGACTCACCAAGCCAGCAGTAAGAGAAGGAGCAGACTGTCCTAGAGACTGGTTTCTCATACGGACCAGGTTTGAGGTTTCTCCAGCTGGCTGCCATGTTGATTGTCCCACTCCACTGTGCACACTGCTGGATAAGGGAAGCAGTTGCTTTCCTTTAAAAACAAAACATGATCTTAACATTTTACCACTTTAATGAATTATAGGTTACGTAATACAATGCTTAACCAAATGCAGGGTTTAGGCAATGGTTTTCTAATCTATAATCATTCCCATGGCTCTTCTATGAACCCTCTCCAATTTATCAACTTTCTTCTTGAATTATCAACACCAGACCTGGCTACAATATTCCAGCAGCGTCCCACCAATGCCAAAAACAGAGGTAAAAGCATCTATACTCCTATTCAAGATTCCCTTGAACATGAATCCCAGGATCAGATTAGTTCTTTTGGTCACAGCGTCACACAGAGCTCATATTCAGCTGATTATGCACCACAACCCCAACATCTTTTTCAGAGTCAGTCTCCCCCATTCCATGACTATGGCCTACATCCTTCGTTCCTAGATGTATCCATTTATATTTAGCCATATTAAAACAAATATTGTTTACCTGTGCCCAGTTTATCAATTGATCCAGATTGCTCTGAATCAATGACCTGTCTTCTTCATTATTTACCACTCTCCCAATTGCTGTGTCATCTGCAAATTTATTAGCGATGATTTTATGTTTTCTTCCAGGTCATTGGTAAAAATGTTAAACAGCATAGGGCCAAGAAAGAATCCTTCTGGGATCCCACTGGTAACACCCACTCAGTGATGATTTTGCGTTTAGAGTTACATTTTGAGACCTATCAGTTAGCCAATTTTTAATGCATTTAATGTGTGCCATGTTAATTTTATATTGTTCTACTTTTTTAATCAAAATGTCGTGAGGAACCAAGTCAAATACCTTACAGAAGTTTAAGTATATTACTTCAATACTATTACTTTTATCAACCAAACTTGTAACCTCATCAAAAAAATATATATATCAAGTTAGCTTGACAGGATCTATTTCCCATAAGCACATGTTGATTTTCCTTAATCACCCTTCTTTCATTTTTTATTAATTTAGTCCCAATTCAGGTACTCCATTATCTTGCCCAGGATCAATGTCAGGCTGACAAGACCTATAACTACCCAGGTCATCCTGTTCACCCTTTTCAAAAGCTGGCACAACATTAGCTTTCGTCCTGTCTTCTGGAACTTCCCCAGTGTTCCAAGACATACTGAAAATCAATATTAGTGGTCCAGCAAGCACCTCAGTCAGCTCTTTTAAAACTCCTGAATGCAAGTTATCTGGACTTGCTGATTTTAAAATGTCTAACTTTAATAGTTCCTGTTTAACACACTCCAGAGATACTAGTGGAATGGAAATGTATTACCACCATATGATGAGACTGCATCATCTGCTTTTTCCCCACAAAGACAGAGCAGAAATCTTTATTGAACACTTCTGACTTTTGTGCATTATTTATTGATAATTCCACCATTTCCATCCAGTAATGAACCAATACGATCGTCAAAATTCAGACGGTTACTCACCTTGTGCAGCAACGGAGGTTCTTCAAGATGGTTGTCCCTGTGAGTGCTCCACTTTAGGGTCTTCACACCCTGCACTTCTAGTTGGAGACTTGTGGTAGCAGTGCCCCAGTTGGCTGCGCACGCGCAGCAGCCATCCCGCACCGCTACAAGCGGTTACCTCACGCGTGCAGCCACCCATTACCCAGTTCCTTTTTTACCCAAGAGGATCGAGCTGAAACTCCGAAGTAGAGGAGAGGAGGGTGGGTAGTGAAGCACCCACAGGGACAACCATTTCCAAGAACCTCAGTTAGTGCACAAGGTGAGTAACCTTTTCTTCTTCTTCTTCTTCTTCTTCTTCTTCAAGGAGTGTCCCTGTGGGTGTTCTAATTTAGGTGACTAAAGAGCAGTGCCCCTCCGTATGTACAGTGGAGAGCTCCTATAGTCCAGAGTGAGCGTCTGCAGCTGACTGCTGTTCGAGGGCATAATGTTTGGTGAAAGTATGGGGCGATGCCCATATAGCTGCTTTACAAATGTCAGTGATGGGTACATGTTTGAGAAAGGCTATGGATGTGGACATAGCTCTAATGGAGTGTGTGCAAAGTCCAGAAGGAGCTTGCAGATTGTAATTTTGGTAACGTAATTGGATACAATTAGAGATCCATTTAGAAAGTCTCTGTTTGGAAATGGTATGGCCTCTGTTGTGGATACGAATAGCCTAGACAATTTTCTGAACGTTTTTGTTCTCTCTATATAGAACGCCAGTGCTCTGCGGACATCTAGCATATGAAGGGACACCTCCCTGTTGTCGGCATGCGGGTTGGGAAAGAATACAGGTAAATAAATGGGTTCGTTGAGCTGGAAGGAGGAGGCGACCTTGGGTATGAATTTAGGGTGTGAGCATAGGATGACTTTGTCCTTGAGGAATGTGGTATAAGGTGGGTGTGCCATTGGGGCACCCAACTCTCCCACCCTTCGTGATGATGTGATAGCTACTAAAAAGGCAACCTTCATGGATAAGTGTAGGAACAAGTAGGATGCTAGCAATTCAAAGGGTTTGCCCATTGGGCACGGAGAACAAGGTTGAGGTCCCACGTAGGGGTCGGGTCCCTTAATGTGGGATAAGTATTCTCTATACCCTTCAGAAAACGTTTAGTCAGTGGATGGGTGAAAACAGTGAGTCCGTCCATCTTGTCGTGAAAAGTGGTGATGTCTGATAAATGCACTCTGAGTGAGCTAGTCGAGAGGCCAGATTTTTTTAGTGTCAATATGTAATCAAGGATAGTAGGTAACGGGGCCGACTGTGGAATGATCTGCTTGTCTCGGCATCAGATAGAGAATCTTTTACGCTTGCGTGCATATGTTTTGTGTGTGGAGAGAACGTCCACTGTTTAGTATGTCTTGAACTTCCTTAGAACAGCATGTTTCGAGTTCTGCCAGCCATGAATTAAACAGGCCTTGAGATGAAGTGTTGAAATGTTGGGGTTAGGGAGGCATCCTGGGTTCGTGGTGATCTGACAGCCAACTGGTCCAGGTATGGGAACCATGTTTGTCTGGGCCATGTTGGTGCAATCAAAAATCCCAGAGTCATCGTCTTGTCTAATCTTGTGTAGGACACGGCTCAACAGGGGGATTGGAGGGAAGGCATACAGGAGCGTGGTCTCCCATTTCATAAGGAAGGGCTCTCCCAGAGAGTTGTGTCCCAGTCCCGCTCAGGAGCAACTTTGCGGGCATTTGGCATTGTGGGTCGTGGCTAAAAGGTCTATTGAGGGGAATCCCCATTGTCGGAATATAGTCTGCAGAATTCCTCGGTCCAGTTCCTGCAAACTGAACAAGTTTGTGAGAACACAGCACTTCAAGATGGGTAACCCTAGCAATCATAATTTCGGCATTGGAAAAAGATTTGCTTTCGGCCCTCTACCTACAGGACGCTTACTTCCACGTCACTATCCACCTGGCGCACAGGAGATAACTACGATTCACTCTGGGCAACCTACGCTACCAGTACAAGGCACTTCCCTTCAGCCTCTCCACGGCTCCTGAGACCGTGTTTTGGGGTCTTTTTTAGGACCAGGGTTCTTAGCAGCCATTTTTGACGAGGACCCCATATCTGAGGCAGCTGCAGGTGAGGACTGGCGAGGAGGTGTCGTGGACTCGGGATCAGAGGGATCTCTCCATCATTAAAAGTTTTAGTTGGAGGGCCCTAGCCTTCCTTGTCCTCACTGTGAGTTTCTTGCAGTGGGGACACTTTTGGGTAACGTGTCTCCCCCAGGCAATGGACACACTGCGTGTGGCCGTCTGTCACTGGTATTGAAAGTCTGCAGGTCAGACAGCACTTGAAACTTGGAGAGACAGGCATATCCGAGAGGCTAAGCTGAATAAAGAATGGGAATAGTCCCGGTCTAATGCCTCTTCGGTGACTACCCACCTGAGGCAGGGAGGAAAAAAAAAATTTTTTAATCATAGACAAAACAAAAATGAAAGGAGAAATCAATAACAAGGGAAATAACTGAAAAAGGGGCAGAGATTAGAGGAATATGAGAGCTGTGAAGGGCACTGCTCTCGTTCTGACCAAAACCAGAGGTGGTAGAGAAGGAACTGGGTAATGGTTGGCTGCACACTTGAGGTAACTGCTCGGAGCGGCATGAGACAGCTGCTGTGCATGCGCGGCTAACCAGAGCACTGCTACCACAAGTTTCTGACCAGAAGCGCAGGGTGCCAAGACACCTAAAGTGGAACACTCACAGGGACACTCCTCAAAGCAGAACTTTTTGTTCCCAATATACACCTCTACCCCGATATAACGCTGTCCTCGGGAGCCAAAAAAATCTTACCGCGTTATAGGTGAAACCACGTTATATCGAACTTGCTTTGATCCACTGGAGTGCGCAGCCCCGCCCCCCCGGAGCGCTGCTTTACCGCGTTATATCCGAATTCGTGTTATATCGGGTCGCGTTATATCGGGGTAGAGGTGTACTTAAATTCCTTATTGTTCTAAACTCTTCTGGTCATAAGTTTCTCCTTGTGTCCCTTGGCTTCCTTTATCAATTTTCTACAATTCCTAACTTCTGATTTATATTCATCAATATCAAGTACCCCTTTCTTCCATGTATTATATATAAATTTCTTTGTTTTTACAGCGGCCTTCCCTTCCCTTCCAAACCAGGTTGTTTTTTTTAACCAGTACAGCCTCCTTCCTCGCTTGTTGGCTTGTGGCTTTTTGGGCTTCTAGGAAGGTGGTCTTAAATGATTCCCAATTATCATGCACATTTTTCTGATTAAAATCTTCCTCCCAAATGATTTGGCTCATAATTGTTTTCAACTTCCTGAATTTGGCCCTATTAAAGTACCACGTGAATATGTTAATGGTCTGGACTTTATACTATTTGCATATTATAAATGTGACCAGTCATGATCACTTGTATCTAAGCTACCATTTTTTAATTCTGTGATCAGTTCCTCTTTATGTGTTAGAACAAGGTCTAATATAGAATTCCATTGTGTTGGCTGCAGCACTTTTTGAGGTCATCTATAATGTTTAGAAATTCTGCAACATGAGACCTCCAGCAGGTCACTCAAATTGAAATCCCCCAGG